TTAGCACAGGGATGCTAATTACCAGGCCTTGTTATGAAGATTGGGGTTTTGAATCTTTGCCCCTTTGTAGGCAGGAAGCATTGTTTTATAAGGGTAAGAAAGTCAAGCGACGACCTGATACGTGCTGTTGCAGGTGTGAAGCTAGATTTGACCACTGCTGCTTTTGCTCCAGTAATCTTACAGAAGCTGCAGGATTAAAGTGATGGTTCAAAATGAAAGTCACAGTGAAAGGTAGCAAAATTACAAAGTTATAAGTGTACGTAGTCTTGCATACCTTAAAGAAATCTGGAAGGACACATCTTCATCCTGAAAAGAAAGGGCAGAGAGCACAGCAATTGCATGTCCCTGCAGCCCTTTTTAGGTTGCTTGGAGGAGGAGGTACGTAGAAATGCTTTCACGGCCAAGGCAACTGCGTTTGATGCCTCAGTCGTATTGCCCCATTCTGAGGTCTGGGCCTTCACCATTTGTTCACAGATGTGAGCCTACTTGTATGCATAGTCTTACATTGTCATGTCCCAGCGTGCCTCTTAGGTCATCCAGTTCTTCTTGTCATTTGTCATCACCCTTGCTAGCTCTTTGGGATTTTTTTTGCCCAGGATGCTGGTGCACCACTTGGTAAGCACGGCCACCCAACAAGAAGTACCTCAGGCTTGTGAGATCACTGCCAATCCTCCTCTTTTCCTTTGGCTTGCCAACTGCTTAGACTTTAAGCCCTGAATTGCCATGTTAGCAATGTAGCTTGGATATGCGCTACTTTTTATTAATGAGTCAATTGGCGGAAACTTCTTTTGGAGGTGTCTGAGATATTTAATACCTTAACTGTTTTAAGGCTGAAGGAGCCAGGAACCCCACCGTCTGAACCCTTTTTCACATTCACTGACCCTAGCGTCGTCTCTTACCTCAGCTGTGTTCCATTTTTCAAATAGGCTCCGTAGGCTGATCTTGTCGCTGGGTGCAGGTCTGGCTGCAGCTTCAGGACTTGCATGCGCTTGCTGAATCCCATGGCCTCATGCGCCTGCGTGATCTTGTCCAGCATATCACAGCCTTGGTGTGCTGGGGGCCAACTGAGATTCAGTAGGATCTGTGTAGCCGCTTGTCTGCTCTGGAGCGATGGAAGGGCTTGATAAATACAGTGAGGGAGCTCCCCTATATGCTTCCTATACCGTTCAGGGCTACAGCAATGGTAGTTTTATTACTGGGAAGGTGGGCATACGTGCAAGCTTAAAACAAACATTGACACTGAGAGAGGAAAATATCCTTGAGCTCAGAGAGACCGTGAGGACTGTAAGGCATGCTGATGGTGCATTCCAGGGAAAACAATTTAAAATCCCGGAAGTCAGCTCAATGGAATCTGTATGTAGTCAATTGCTCAAAGGTGAAAGAATTTCTTTACAGTAATTGGGTAACTTAAAATACGCTTTACACGAGCTCAATTTGTCTTCACTGGAGTCCTGATTTACATGACAGAGGGGACACTGAGGCATAGGAATTTTGTTCTTCCATTTACGCTTTTCGTATCGTATGAGACAGGTCAGCACCTTGGTACTGCTGACCAAAGCCTCCAAATGCAAAAGCAGAAATCGTGTACATCCCAGAGTGGGCCTATACACAGAGGACTTGTAATTACAGTAAGGTGGTGAGTAGAATTTATTTTCATCATGGAGCCATGTTACTATTCAATTTGAATTGTAATCATTGTTAGCTGACTTTTCTTGCTGCATTTTAGGCTGCTGCAGGTTCCGTCCTTTAATTTAGTTTCCAGAATCTTGACAGATAAAACAAGATGTCTGCCCTCTTAAAGCTCCCTTCCTGTGAGTCCATAACATAATATACAGAACTACTTGTTGAGGCTACTAACAATTTAAGATGGTTATGAGCTGAAATAACAAAACAAAACAGGGCATGAACAAAATTACAGCAAGTATTTAAATTGTCCTTAAGGTATCCCTAATTAAATTTCATCACGAGTATCACGTAGTGTAAAAAGCCTCTTATTTTACCCCCAGTCCAAAGATTGGATTTCTTCCAAGACAGAGATGGTGCTTGCCGCAAACCACTTCTGAGGTGGAATGGAATAGCTGACATCTTTAACTTGAAGATGTCTCTATGTCTGTCTTGCCATTAGGCAGGAAACAACCGAGGTCCATCAGGAGTTGGGTCTGTCAGACTGCCAAGGTCTTGCAATTGGATCCAGCACGAGTGATGAGCTGGCGGGTTCTTAGGGTAATGTTTATTGTGGCTCCCAGACACCTATTTGACATCGAGATCCATCATCTCCAGGAACTCCTAAGTATCTTGGAGAACTCTAGCTCAAAATCAAGCAAATTAAATTCAGTACAAACCAAGAATTTAATAACATCCTATTTTAAGGTTTTTTTCAGCTTCCTCACATTCCAAACTGGGACATCCTTAGACCATTGTTAGTGATGAAGGCAACGTTTCATGTTCTGCTTCATACATAAATATGAATCTCGAGTATCAAAGAGTCTGGAAGGGAATGGAACAAACCAGCCTGAAAAGAATTAGCAGGGAAATAATTGTTATTCACCATTATAGAAAATACATAGCTGGGAAACGACCTCATTTGAGTTGATCTCTGCATCTGTGTAGCTTTTCATTTATAATAGTTCTTCCTGTGGGCTCTGAGGTGTTTTTTCCTTTTTTTTTTTCTTTTTTTTTTTTTCCTCCCTAGTTACATACGTTCTTAAATGGATGATGATTGTTTGATGGGGGAAGAGTAATTTTACCTCATTTAGAGGACCGAATAAAGCGTTTTTACAAGTTACAAGCTTTTGGGACCTTTTAGCTAACTGTGAATGACTGTCTCCCCAAAGAGTGAAAGTGCTCTAGAATCCAGCTTCTGCGCTCCAGCGGTTGAGGTGTGCGTCCGCCACCCCACCCCGCTCCCTTCTCTCCTGTTTTAATAGGATGAGCAGAACCAGGTTAGGGAACAGCCACGTGCACAACATAAGCCGCGGAAGAGGCTCAGGGGTCAGACAGGGACAGGCAGTTCTGAGCAGTCCAAGCAATAACATCTTTTGCTGGATTGGAGTAACGCAAAGAAACACATCTACGTCTCCGTAGTCCTACTCCGCACAAAACGTTAAGCGTCATGGAGGCCTGTAGAGCGGGGGAGACGATGGTTTTGCGTTGGTGTACGAAGTTCCTGTTTGCTGAGGACTGTTCAGAAATAGGCTTTTGGGAAAAGTAAACTGTACACATCTTCCACTGTCTACATCCTCACTTTCAAACCTGCAACCTCTTATCTCTGGAATCATGTTCTCGTTCTTTTTTGGGTAGTAAATCTCATGATAAATGTTTTCTCTTCCATGCTGTTAAACTGAGCTTTGTGGCTAAGTGCAGATTGTAGCATCTGTTACCAAATGCACAGTCATAGTTCATCACATCCACAGCTGGAGAGATTTGGGGTTATAGTGAAACTTCAGTGGGCTGTGCTAGAATTCAGATTTTTGTCTTCTCCCAGGCAAGAAAACTCATACTTGTTGAAAGCCCCGACAGGACCCACACTTTATCAGCCCGGACAGGAAAGGCTCTTTCACCCGGTGAGCTTGCTGTGAGCTGGTGCAATTAGACACCGAGTGTGTAATTCAGCACTTCTAGAGGATCCGTGAATGCAGACGTATTACTTCCAGCCCTGTGGATAAAAGTAGCTTACTGGCTTACGCGCACAGCAACAAATCCAAGATGTGTTCCCTGCCTGTCTTTGGTCCGCTGCTGCACTACGCAGCAAACTTGCTTGTGTCTGCCCCGATACTGTTGAATGACAAGTTTAACAAGATTTATCCTCCCCATGTATCTTGTCTAAAGCTATTGCCTTTAATCCAGCTACTGAGAAGATTATGGTTTACGTACTGGAAAACCACAGGGTCTGCGCTTTCTTGGGGCTTGCCCAGGACTTGACCATACTTCTACCTTACAAAACTGAAACAAATTATTCCCCGGGGGGGTGGGGGGGGCAGGGAAGGGGCGGGAAGTGTGTAAAACTATTTCCTGCTGCCTTCTGATTTGTTCCATATCCCATGCAGCTTGAATGAGAACTCACCGTCCAGCTTTCCAAGTCCACAAAATCACTTTACCTTAAGCTTGTGAATGATCCAGCTTTGTTTCTTTTCCTTAGTCTCTTTTTTCCACAAGTTTCTAAGATTATTTATTCTAAGTATGTTAAGTAATCTGTAAAGAACTTCTCTTAAATGCATTTTCAGTGTTTCATGACGAAAAAACCCCAACTTGAAGTGTTGATCCTCAAACTGAAAATGGAGTGTCTTCATTGTGCTACAGCATCACTCAGGAGTATGAAAGATGTCAGTAACAGACAGGGTTCGGACTCCATACGAATCTTTCTCTACCAAGAAGAGGCTTTAATTAAAAAAGACGAGATGAGAAGTAAGTGTGGTTTTTTTTTTTCTTTTAAGATGCTGGAGCTCTTTAGCATTTTACAGGTTAATATACAGCCTGATGCTTCCAATATTAAGGTGAAAGCTGCCCATTAATGACTTGTAATGAATATTTCATTTTCTCTCCATATATGGAAACAAAATAAAAAATTAAATGTAATGAAAATTAACTGTAGGAATGACAATAATCAATCACGAAGAATAGCATTTATTAATATGACCTGGAAAATGTATCACATGCCACCTGCCACCGTTTAGACCACTTCAGATATTTTGCACAGCTTTAGTAAAATCAGTAACGAGATGTTTACAGTTACTCTCTCAAGCAACATAGAAGCATTTATACACTTTGTTTGAGCAGTAAAAAATCCTCATCTTTGAACTTGCTCTCAATAATGTGAGATACATGAAATCGTATGTCCACAGACATACCTCTTCCCACCCCTTCCCGCTCTAAAATCAGAGTTTACAAACCATCTATGTTTCTGATGGTGAAGGTCTCAGTCTGATGGCTGAGTGTACGCTGGTGGAAACATCTGCTTTTGCAGATC